AGCCCTGCACCAGGGACACAGCCCCGGGCAGTGCCAGGACTGCCACCCCCACAGCCCCACAGCCCACCCGTGCCCACCCCTGCGCCGTGCCGTGCCCTGCCCTCTCTCAGCCCCGTCCCGTCCCCAGGGTACGGCGGCGGCGGCGGCCCCGGCTACTCGGGCGGCAGCCGCGGCTACGGGCGGCAGCGGCTCCTACGACGGCTACAACAACGGCGGCGGCGGCTTCGGCGGCGGCAGCGGCGGCAGGCGGCCGGCACGGCGGCGGCGGCGGCTTCGGCGGCCAGCGGCGGCAGGCGGCCGGCACGGGGCCCGGCCCTGGCCGTGCGCAACGGGCTGGGCGAGGCGGGCACAGGTGGGACACGGGGACAATGGGACACCCCAGGGGCAATGGGGACACTGAGGGGACATCCCTGGGGACATTTGGGACATCCCTGTGGGACACTGAGGGGACGTCCCTGGGGGCAATGGGGACACCGCCAGGGGACGCTGGGGACACTGAGGGGACACCCTGGGGGACACTGAGGGGATGTCCCTGGGGGCAATGGGGACACCGCCAGGGGACGCTGGGGACACTGAGGGGACACCCTGGGGGACACTCGGGGGACACCCCTGGGGGGGGTGGCACTGCCCCACAGCCGGGGTTTTAGGGGAGAGGGGTCACTGAGGGGTTGGGAGCTTGTGAAGGAATCACGGGGATTTGGGGTCTCTGGGAATCCAGCATGGAGGATTTGGGATCTCTGGGTGCCCATCCCGGAGCTCAGCGGGGTTTGGGGGGTTTGGGGTCTCTGGGAATCCAACATGGAGGATTTGGGGGTCTCTGGGTGCCCATCCCGGAGCTCAGCGGGGTTTGGGGGGTTTGGGGTCTCTGGGAATCCAGCATGGAGGATTTGGGGTCTCTGGGTGCCCATCCCGGAGCTCAGCGGGGTTTGGGGGGTTTGGGGTCTCTGGGAATCCAACATGGAGGATTTGGGGTCTCTGGGTGCCCATCCCGGAGCTCAGCGGGGTTTGGGAGCTCAGGGAAAGGATCACAGGGATTTGGGGTCTCAGGGAACCCATCCTGGAGATCTCCGGGGCTTTGGGGTCTCAGGGAAAGCTCCCCAGAGATCGTGCAGGGTTTGGGCTCCCGGTTAAACCATCCCGGAGCGTTGGGGATCCCAATTCCTCACCCCAAATGCCCCGGTCATGGGGCACCCCTGGGTGCTCGGTGTCCCCCTGTCCCCAATGTCCCCCCCTGTCCCCAATGTCCCCCCCTGACCCCAATGTCCCCCTGACCCCAATGTCCCCCCCTGACCCCCAATGTCCCCCCGTGTCCCCCCCAGGCAGCAATTTCGGGGGCGGGGGCAGCTACAACGACTTCGGCAGCTACAACAACCAGGCCTCGAGCTTCGGGCCCATGAAGGGCGGCAGCTTCGGGGGCGCAGCTCGGGGCCCTACGGCGGCGGTGAGTGCCCAAAAACCCCCAAAAATCCCACCTTGAGAACCCCAAAATATCCTAATTGTACTGGGGCAGCTTTGGGGGGCGCAGCTCGGGCCCTACGGCGGCGGTGAGAACCCCAAAATAATCTGGGGAACCCCAGAATATCCAAATTGTACTGGGCAGCTTTGGGGTGCAGCTCGGGGCCCTACGGCGGCGGTGAGTGCCCCAAAACAACCTGGGGAACCCCAAAATATCCAAATTGTACTGGGGCAGCTTTGGGGGGCGCAGCTCGGGCCCTACGGCGGCGGTGAGAACCCCAAAATAACCTGGGGAACCCCAAAATATCCAAATTGTACTGGGGCAGCTTTGGGGTGCAGCTCGGGGCCCTACAGTGGCGGCGAGTCCCCAAAAACCACCCAAGGAACCCCAAAAAATCAGCTGGGGGGACCCCAAAAATCACCTGGGGAACCCCAAAATATCCTAAATGTACTGGGGCAGCTTTGGGGTGCAGCTCGGGGCTCTCTGATGGTGGTGAGTCCCCAAAATCCCACCAGGGGAACCCCAAAATCACCTGGGGAACCCCAAAATCACCTGGGGAACCCCAAAATATCCTGAATGTACTGGGGGGACTTCAGGGGGTCACAACTCAGGGCTCTATGGCAGCAGTGGGTGTCCCAAAAATCCCACCTGGGGAACCCCAAAATCACCTGGGGCACCCTAAAAATCACCTGAGGAACCCCAAACATCACCTGGGGAGCCCCAAAATCACCTGAGGAACCCAAAAAACCCTCTGGGGAACCCCAAAAGATCACCGGGCAACCCCAAAAACTGCTTGGGGAACCCAAAAATCACCTGAGGAACCCCAAAGATGACCTGGGGAACCCAAAAATCACCTGAGGACCCCAAACATCACCTGGGGAGCCCAAAATCCCTCGGGGGAGCTTAAAATGGATTGGGGTGACCTTAAAATAACCTGTAGGGAGGGCTCGAAATGTGCTGGGAAGAGCCCAAAAAAAGCCAAAATTGGGGGATCCTGGCGGGGGTCCTGTGTCACTGGGGGGTCCCCAAATGTGTGTCCGTGCCCCCCCCCCCGTTTTTGGGGGTCCCTGAATCCCCCTGGATCCGCAGGCGGCTACGGCAGCTCCAGCGGCGGCGGCAGCTACGGAGGAGGGAGGAGGTTTTAACGGGCAGGTGAGGGGAAAACGGGGGGAAAAATGGGGGGAAAAACGGGAAAAATTGGGAAAATGGGGGGGGAAAAACAGGGGAAAAAATGGGGAAAATGGGGGGAAAAACAGGGGAAAAAATGGGGAAAATGAGTGGGGAAAAAACAGGGGGAAAATGGGGGGAAAACCAGGGAAAATTGGTGGGGAAAAATGGAGAAAATTGGTGGGGAAAATGGGGGGAAAAACAGGAAAAATGGGTGGGGAAAGTTGGGGGAAGGGGTGGGGAAAAACACAGGGGAAAATGGGGGGAAAACGGGGAAAATGAGTGGGGAAAATGGGGGGAAAATATGGGGAAAATATGGGGAAAATGGGGGGGAAAGTTGGAGAAGAAGCAGGGAAAATGGGTGGGGAAAACCAGGGGAAAATGGGGGGAAAAATACGGAAAAATGGGGGGGGAAAGTATGGCAAAAAAGGGGGGGAAAATTGGGGAAAATGGGTGGGAAAAAGGAGGAGGGAGGAGGTTTTAACGGGCAGGTGAGGGAGAAAATGGGGGAAAAACAGGGGGAAAAGGGTGGGGAAAAATTGGGGAAAATGGGTGGGGAAAAATTGGGGAAAGTGGGGGGAAAAATGGGGAAAATGGGGGGGAAAAATGTGGGGAAAAACAGGGAGAATGGGGGGAAAAGGGTGGGGAAAACAGGGAAAACGGGTGGGGACAAACAGGCGAAAAATGGGGAAAATGGGGGGGAAATGGGAAAAATAGGTGGGGGAAAATGGGGGGAAAAACGGGAAAAATGGGTGGGGAAAATATGGGGAAAATATGGGGAAAATGGCTGGGGAAAGTTGGGGAAGAAGCAGGGAAAATGGGTGGGGAAAACCAGGGGAAAATGGGGGGAAAAATACGGAAAAAGGGTGGGGAAAATGGGGGGGAAAACAGGGGAAAAAGGGTGGGGAAAAAACGGGAAAATGGGGGGAAAAGCAGGAAAAATGGGTGGGGAAAGTGTGGGAAATGGGGGAAAAACTTGGGAAAAGGGTGGGAAAGAATCAGGGGAAAATGGGTGGGAAAATAGGGGAAAAGGGGTGGGAAAAATATGGCAAAAAGAGGAGGAAAAGGGTGGGAAAGAATCAGGGGAAAATGGGTGGAAAAATATGGGGAAAAACAGGGAAAAAGGGTGGGGAAAGTGTGGGAAAATGGGGGGAAAAAAATTGGGGAAAATGGGGGGAAAATAATTGGGGAAAAGGCTGATCCTGACCCTGCCCTGTCCGTCTGTCCCAGCCCTGCCCGTGTCCGTCTGTCCCGCAGGAGCCGGAGCCGGGCGGGAGCCGGGGCGGCCCCTGGAGCCAGCGCGGGGCCGGGACCCCCGGGGACCCCCCGGGACCCCCCAGGACCCTCCTGGGACCCCCTGGGATCCCTGGGACCCTCCTGGGACCCCTCAGGATCCTCTGGGACCCCCCAGGACCCCCTGGGATCCCCCAGGACCCCCCCGGGACCCCCGGGGTCCCCTGGGAACGGCCGCAGTCCCCGCTGTGTCCTGTACCCCCCCCCCCCCAATAAATGTCTCTTGGGTTTTTTTTTTAATTAGTTTTGATTGTTATTGTTGGGACCGGGGTGACGGCGGGAACAACGTGGGGGCACCCGGGGGTGTGGGCACAGGGGTGTGTCACCCATGGGGTGTGTCACCCTCGGGATTTGTCACCCTCGGGGTGTGTCACCCATGGGATTTGTCACCCTCGGGATGTGTCACCCTCGGGATGTGTCACCCTCGGGATGTGTCACCCTCGGGATGTGTCACAGCTGAGGGAGGTGGCGCCTCCCGGCCCTGAGGGGACGGCAGGAGGAGGTGACAGGAATGTGACACCGCGGGGCGCAGAGGGTGACACGGTGGGAGGTGACACCGATGATGTCCCCACCCGTGTCCCCAACAGCTCGGAGGGGACACTGCCCATGTCCCTGCCCCCGATGTCCCCTCCATGTCCCAAATCGCCCCCAGTTGTCCCTCAGTGTCCCCTCCGTGTCCCCAGTTGCCCCCAATCGCCCCCAATTGTCCCCAATGTCCCCCCGTGACCCCGAGTGACCAAAGGGCAGGCGAAGCCCCGCCCACAGAAGGCGTGGCCACGAGAGGGGCGTGACCAACAGCGGAATGGTGCTCTCTTCCCGTCACGTGCTCACCGAGCCAGCCAATCATAGCCCGCGCCCTGCAAAGGGGTGATGTCAGCGCTTCCCCGGTCACTATGGCAACTGTGTCGCCCCTTCCGCTTCCGGGAGCGCCGTGCCGCGGTGATTGACAGCTGGCTCATCCAATCACCGCCCCTCTGCGGAAGCGCGGGAAAGATTGGCCCGCCCACCGCGCGGAAGCGCGCGGCGATTGGCGGGATTCAGGCATCGTCGGACCAATCAGCTCAGCAGGGTGGGGCCTATGAGAGTGATTGGCAGGCGAGCAGCCAATCAGCGGCCGGCGCTGTTCCGGCTCCACGTCGGCAGCGGCGGAGGCAAAATGGAGGCGCTGGTGCTGGTGAGGGCCGGGGGGAACTGGGGGGGATAAGGATGGACTGGGGGGAACTGGGAGGGACTGGGAGAGACTGGGATGGACTGGGGGGAGCTGGGGGGGACTGGGATGGACTGGGGGGCAGTGGGGACACTGGCAGGTGACACATTCCTGGGTGCCCAGGTCAGGGTTCTGTCCTACACTGGGCTGTGGCTCTGGGCAGTCAGTGACACTGGGGGCAGTGTTGGTGACACTGGTGGCAGTTCTGGTGGCAGTCAGTGACACTGGGGGCAGTGTTGGTGACACTGGTGGCAGTTCTGGTGGCAGTCAGGGACACTGGGGACACTGGGGACGGTTAGGTGACACTGGGGACAGTTCTGGTGGCAGTCAGTGACACTGGGGGCAGTGTTGGTGACACTGGTGGCAGTTCTGGTGGCAATCAGTGACACTGGGGACACTGGGGACGGTTAGGTGACACTGGGGACAGTTCTGGTGACATTCCTGGGTGCCCGGGGCGGGGTTCTGTCCTACACTGGGCTGTGGCTCTGGGCAGTCAGTGCATCACAGAACTTGGTCCTGGGGACCCCCAGCGACACCGGGGGGACACGGGGGGGACACCGGGAGGGGGACAGGGATGGAGACACAGGAACAAGGGGGACACAGGGGACAGGGGGACACGGTGACAGTGACCCTGGCAGTGCCATGGCCCCGGCACAGCCTCCCCCGCTGTCCCTGGCGCTGGGGACACGGCCGGCGCTGTCCCCAGGCCGGGCTGGTGGCACTGCGCTCTCCCTGCGGCGGTGGCACCGTCCCTGTCCCTGTCACCGTCCCTGTCCCCGTCCCCAGGAGCCGTCCCTGTACACGGTCAAGGCCATCATCATCCTGGACAACGACGGCGAGCGGCTCTTCGCCAAGGTGGGGACACCGGGGGACACGGGGGGACATGGAGGGGACACGGGGGGACACGGGGGGACACCGGGGGACACGGGGGGACACGGGGGGGACACGGGGGGGACACGGGGGGCACACCTGGGGGGACACGGGGGGGACACGGGGGGCACACCTGGGGGGACACTGCCCTGAGGGAGGGGACAGGGCGGGTGGCCCAGGTGTCAGGGGTGGCGATGTCCCTGTCCCGTGTCCCCAATGTCCCCATGCCCCTGATGTCCCCAATGTCCCCGACGGTGCCCCCGATGTCCCTGCTGATGTCCCCGTGTCCCCTGTGCCAGTACTACGATGACACGTACCCCAGCGTGAAGGAGCAGCGCGCCTTCGAGAAAAACATCTTCAGCAAAACGCACCGCAGTGACAGTGAGTGACAAAATGGGGACATGGGGACACTGAGGGGACAATGGGGACAATGGGGACACACCGCAGTGACAGTGAGTGACAAAATGGGGACATGGGGACACTGAGGGGACAATGGGGACACACGGGACATCTTCAGCAAAACGCACCGCAGTGACAGTGAGTGACAAAATGGGGACATTGGGGACACTGAGGGGACAATGGGGACAATGGGGACACACGGGACATCTTCAGCAAAACGCACCGCAGTGACAGTGAGTGACAAAATGGGGACATGGGGACACTGAGGGGACAATGGGGACAATGGGGACACACCGCAGTGACAGTGAGTGACAAAATGGGGACATGGGGACACTGAGGGGACAATGGGGACACACGGGACATCTTCAGCAAAACGCACCGCAGTGACAGTGAGTGACAAAATGGGGACATGGGGACACAATGGGGACAATGGGGACAATGGGGACACACGGGACATCTTCAGCAAAACGCACCGCAGTGACAGTGAGTGACAAAATGGGGACATGGGGACACTGAGGGGACAATGGGGACAATGGGGACACACGGGACATCTTCAGCAAAACGCACCGCAGTGACAGTGAGTGACAAAATGGGGACATGGGGACACTGAGGGGACACTGAGGGGACAATGGGGACACACGGGACATCTTCAGCAAAACGCACCGCAGTGACAGTGAGTGACAAAATGGGGACATTGGGGACACTGAGGGGACACTGAGGGGACAGGGACACACCGCAGTGACAGTGAGTGACAAAATGGGGACATTGGGGACACTGAGGGGACACTGAGTGACACAGGGGTGGCACAGGTGACAGTGACAGTGTCACACAGGTGGCACAGGGGTGACACAGGGGTGACACAGGGATGGCACAGGGGTGACACAGGGGTGGCACAGGGGTGGCACAGGGGTGGCACAGGGGTGGCACAGGTGACAGTGACACACAGGTGACAGTGACATTGTCCCCAGGTGAGATCGCGCTGCTGGACGGGCTGACCGTGGTGTACAAGAGCAGCATCGACCTGTACTGCTGTGTCATCGGGAGCGCCACCAGAACGAGGTGGGGACACGGGGACAGGGTGGGGGACAGGGTGGGGACAGCGAGGGGACAGCGAGGGGACACAGAGACAGCGCGGGATGGCACAGGGACAGTGAGGGGACACTGCGGGGCACAAGGACACCAGGGCTGCTGGGGGACCCTGGGGTGGCACAGGGGACACTGCCTGTGACCCCGGGTGACCCCGGGTGACCCCGGGTGACCCCGCTGTCCCCTCTCTGTCCCTGTGCCCGTCCGTGTGTCCCAGCTGATGCTCACGGCCGTGCTCAACTGCCTGTTCGACTCGCTGAGCCAAATGCTGAGGTGGGACACTGGGGACACTGGGGACACACCTGGGACACTGGGGACACTGGGGACACACCTGGGGACACTGGGGACATTGGGGACACTGGGGACATTGGGGACATTGGGGACATTGGGGACACTGGGGACACTGGGGACATTGGGGACACACCTGGGGACACTGGGGACACTGGGGACACTGGGGACACACCTGGGGACACCTGGGGACACCGGGGACACTGGGGACACTGGGGACACACCTGGGGACACTGGGGACACACCTGGGGACACCTGGGGACACTGGGGACACTGGGGACACTGGGGACATTGGGGACATTGGGGACACCTGGGGACACTGGGGACACACCTGGGGACACTGGGGACATTGGGGACACTGGGGACACTGGGGACATTGGGGACATTGGGGACACTGGGGACACTGGGGACACACCTGGGGACACTGGGGACACTGGGGACATTGGGGACACCTGGGGGGTCACCTGGGGGTGCCGGTGTCCCCAAAGGGCTCTGGGGGGTTTTGGGGGAGCCTGGAGGGGGGGGGTCCCTTGTTTGGGGCGTCCCCGTGTCCTGGGATGTCACTTTGGGGGTGTCCCAGCCCTGTGGGGTGGCCCTGTGGGGATGTCCCCTCAGTGTCCCCTCAGTGTCCCCTCAGTGTCCCCTGGTGTCCCCCAGGAAGAACGTGGAGCGCCGGGCGCTGCTGGACAACATGGAGGGGCTGTTCCTGGCCGTGGACGAGATCGTGGACGGAGGGTGGGGCTGTCACCTCCCTGTCACCTCCCCTGTCACCCCCTGTCACCTCCCCTGTCACCTCCCTGTCACCTCCCTGTCACCTCCCCTGTCCCCCTCCCTGTCACCTCCCTGTCACCTCCCCTGTCACCTCCCTGTCACCCCCTGTCACCCTCCCTGTCACCTCCCCTGTCACCTCCCCTGTCACCTCCCTGTCACCTCCCCTGTCACCTCCCCTGTCACCCCCTGTCACCTCCCCTGTCACCCCCCCGTCACCCTCCTGTCACCCTCCCTGTCCCCCCTGTCACCATCCCTGTCACCCTCCCTGTCACCCTCCCTGTCACCCTCCCTGTCACTGTCACCTCTCCCTGGGACTGTCACCCCCCCAGTGCTGAGGTGTCTCTCTCCCCTGTCCCCATGTCCCCCTGTCCCCCTGTCCCCATGTCCGTGTGTCCGTCTGTGCCCCCTGTCCCATGTCCCCGTGTCCATCTGTCCCCATGTCCGTGTGTCCATCTGTCCCCCGTGTCCCCCTGTCCCATGTCCCCTGTCCCATGTCCCACGTCCTCATGTCCATCTGTCCCCCTGTCCCCATGTCTGTGTGTCCATCTGTCCCCCCTGTCTCCTCTGTCCCCATGTCCCCCTGTCCCTCTGTCCCCATGTCCCCCTGTCCCCTTGTCCCCCTGTCCCCGTGTCCCCGTGTCTGTGTGTCCCCGTGTCTATGTGTCCCCCATGTCCGTGTGTCCCCCTGTCCCGTGTCCCGTGTCCGTGTGTCCCCGTGTCCGTGTGTCCCCGTGTCCGTGTGTCCCCTCAGGGTGATCCTGGAGAGCGACCCACAGCAAGTCGTGCACCGCGTGGCCGTGCGGGTACGGGGCCGCACCGGGGGGGTTTGGGGTGTTTGGGGGGTTTTGGGGGGTCCCAGGGGTCCGGGGGGTTTGGGGGGATTTGGGGTTTTTGGGGGAAATTGGGATGATCTGGGGTTTTTGGAGGGATTTGGGGTTTTTGGGAGGATTTGGGGGACTTGAGGTTTCAGGGTTTTTGGAGGGATTTGGGGTTTGTTGGGGGGATTTGGGGTTTTGGGGTTTTTTTGGGGGGTTTTTCGGGGGGTTGGGGTTTTAGGGTTTTTGGGGGGGATTTGGGGTTTTGGAGTTTTGGGGGGGGGCTTTGGGGTTTTTGGGGGGCTTTGGGGTTTTTGGGTTTTTTTGGGGGGGATTTGGGGGTCTCCGGGGTTTTGGGGTGTTTTGGGGATATTTTGGGGTTTTTGGGGGGTCTCAGGGGTCTGGGGGGCAGCTCAGGGGGGTCCTGGGGCCCCCCCTGCCCCAGGTACCGACTGTCCCCCCCCTGTCCCCCCCTGTCCCCGCTGTCCCCGCTGTCCCCGCTGTCCCCCTCTGTCCCCCCCTGTCCCCGGCTGTCCCCCCTGTCCCCCCCTGTCCCCGCTGTCCCCGCTGTCCCCCCCTGTCCCCCCCTGTCCCCCCCTGTCCCCGCTGTCCCCCCCTGTCCCCCCCTGTCCCCGCTGTCCCCGCTGTCCCCCCCTGTCCCCCCCTGTCCCCCCCTGTCCCCGCTGTCCCCCCCCTGTCCCCCCCTGTCCCCGCTGTCCCCCCCCTGTCCCCCCCTGTCCCCGCTGTCCCCGCTGTCCCCGCTGTCCCCCCCTGTCCCCCCCTGTCCCCGCCTGTCCCCGCTGTCCCAGGGCGAGGACGTGCCCCTGACGGAGCAGACGGTGTCACAGGTACGACCCCAAAAACCCCTGAGACCCCCCCCCCCAAAAACCCCTGGGACCCCCCCAAAACTCCTGGGACCCCCCAAAACCCTCTGGGACCCTTAAAAACCCCCTGTGACTCCTCAAAATCCCCTTGGACCCCCAAAAACCTCCTGGGATTCCCAAAACTCCCTGAGACCCCCCCCCCCCCCCAAAACCCTGAGACCCCCCAAAAACCCCTGGGACCCCCCAAAACCCTTTGAGATCCCTCCAAAACCACTGAGACTCCCCCCCCCCCCCTCCCCAAAACCCCTGAGACCCCCCAAAAACCTCCTGGGACCCCCCAGACACCCCTGGGACCCCCCCCCCCCCCCCCCAAAATCCCCTGGGATTCCCAAAACCCCCTGAGACCCCCCAAAACCTCCTGGGACCCCCAAAACCCTCCCAGGGTGTCCCCAGGTGTGTCCCCAGGTGTGCCCCCAGGTGTCCCCCATGTGTCTGTGCCCCCCAGGTGCTGCAGTCGGCGAAGGAGCAGATCAAGTGGTCACTGCTGCGATAGGGGGACCCCCCCCGGGACCCCCCAAAACCTCCTGGGACCCCCCAGAACAACCTGGGACCCCCCCGGGACCCCCCCAAACCTCCTGGGACCCCCCAGAACACCCTGGGACCCCCCCGGGACCCCCCAGAACACCCCGGGACCTCCCAGGACCGCTGGGGACCCCCCCAAAAGACCCTGGGACCCCCCAGTCCCCCCCGTGCCCCCCAACACGCCGGTGCCCCCCCACGCCGTGTGCTGCTGCTCTGTGCCCGCGCCGCCCGGGGGGTTTTTGGGGCATTTTGGGGGGATTTGAGGTTTTGGGGGGATCTGGGGGGATTTAGGGTCCCCCCCCCCCCCCCCCCCCAAGAAGGGGGTGTCCCCCAGGGTGTCCCAACCTGCCTGGGGGGACACAAGGGTGGGGACAAGGGACACAAAGTGGGGGCAGAGCTGGGCCTGGGACCCCCCTTGGGGACCCCAAAATCCACCTGGGGACCCCAAACCCACCAAGACCCACGTGGGGACCCCAGGATCCACCTGGGACCCCCTTAGAGACCCCAAAATCCACCTGGGACCCCAAAACCCACCAAGACCCACGTGGGGACCCCAGGATCCACCTGGGACCCCCCTTGGGGATCCCCAAAATCCACCTGGGACCCCCTTAGAGACCCCAAAATCCACCCGGGACCTCCCTGGAGACCCCAAAACCCAACTGGGTTCCCCTTGGGGTCCCCAAAATCCACCTGAGGACCCAAAATCCACCTGGGACCCCCTTGGGGAGCCCTGAAGCCCCCTTGGGGATCCCCAAATCCACCTGGGACCTCCCTGGGTACCCAAAATCCATCTGGGAACCCCCTGGGGATCCCCTAAACCCACTGGGACTCCCTTGGGGACCCCAAAATCCACCTGGGGATCCAAACCTCCCTCGAGAGACCCCAAAATCCACCCAGGACCCTCTTGGGAACCCCAGAATCCACCCAGGACCCCCTTAGAGACCCCAAAATCCACCTGGGGACCCCAAAACTCACAAGACCCACGTGGGGACCCCAAGATCCACCTGGGACCCCCTTGGGGATCCCCAAAACCCACCCGGGACCCCTTAGAGACCCCAAAACCCAACTGGGACCCCCCTTGGGGACCCCAAAATCCACTTGCGGATCCCCAAAATCCAACTGGGGACCCCGAAACTCACCCAGGACCCACCTGGGGATCCCCAAAATCCACCTGGGACCCCTTGGGGATCCCCAAAATCCAACTGGGACCCCCCTGGGGACCCCAAAACCCACCCGGGACCCCCTTGGGGACCCCAAAACACACCCAGGACCCACCTGGGGAGCCCCAAAATCCACCTGAGGACCCCAAAGTCCATCTGGGACCCCCTTGGGGAGCCCTGAACCCCCCTTGGGGATCCCCAAAATCCACCTGAAGACCCCAGAATCCACCTGGGGACCCCCAAAGCCCCCAAACCCCCCCAGAGCCAGAGTCAAACCCAGTCGTTTATTGGGGTGAAGCTGGGGGGGGGACCACGGGGGGGGGGGCAGGGGTCCCCCCAAACCCCCCCCCCCACCCGCTATTGCTTTGCTGAGTCACAGTTTCACTGGGGGGGCCCAAAAATTGGGGAGGGGTCAGTGCCGAGAGTGGGGGGGGGGGGGGGAAACGCAAAATTTGGGGTTCAGTGCTGGGGGGGGGCCCGAAATCTGAGGGGGGGTCAGTGCTGGGGGGGGGCCCAAATTTGGGGGGGGGTCAGTGCCAAGGTGGGGGATGCCCAAAAATTGGGGGGGGGGGGTTCAGTGCAAGGTTTGGGGGGGGCTCTGGTGATAAGGGGGGGGGCACAGTGATAGCGGGGGGGTGCAGGATTTTGGGGGGGGGGTCACAGTGATGGGGGGGTCCCGCAGTTTTGGGGTGGGGGGGTCACAGTGATGGAGGGGTTCAGGATTTTTTTTGGGGGGGGGTCACAGTGATGGGGGTGCAGGATTTTGGGGAGGGGGGTGTGCAGGTTTGGGGGGGGGGTGCAGGGTTTTTTTTTGGGGGGGTCACAGTGCTGGGGGGGTGCAGGATTTTTGGGGGGGTGCAGGATTTTTTTGGGGGGGTGCAGGGTATTTTTTGAGGGGGGTCACAGTGCTGGGAGGGGTTTCAGGATTTTGGGGGGGGGTTTCAGGATTTTGGGGGGTGCAGGATTTTTGGGAGGGGGGGCACAGTGCTTGTGGGGCCGTACCATGTATGTGTATGGGGGGGGGGGGTGTCATTATTTACAGGGGGGGTGCCCGGGCCCCCCCTCATGTTATTGCAATGGGCTGGGCCCGAAGGGGGGGGGTTAAAGGAATTGAGGGGGGGCCCTGGGGGGGGGTGGGGCGATTTTTGGGGGCCCCCCGGGGCTGTGCGGGCTCGGTGCCCTCAGTGCAAGAGGTCATGGCTTGGGGGGCTTGGGGGGGGTCCCGGGGTGGATTTTGGGGGGGTCCTGGGGGGGCTCCATCCCTCGAGCCGTCGCTGATTGCTGAGCAGATCCCTGAGGTGCCGGGGGGGGCTCTGGGGACCCCTCCCCCATCCCGGGGGGGTCCCGGGCCCCGGGGTTTGTGCGGTGGGGCCGGGGGGGGGTCCCGGGGGGGGAGGGGCGGGGGGGGACGGGCTCAGTGTTTTCCTGCCAAATCTCCAAATTCCAGTTAAAAAATAAAAATAATCGCTGAGCCCGGGTGGGGGAGGGGAGAATGGCTGGGGGCGTTGCTAGGAGACGGTGCTAGGAGATGACGGTTGCTAGGAGATGACGGTTGCTAGGAGACGTTTCCACGTGCAGCTCTGGGTGCAGGCGGTTGCCAGGTAACCGTTGCCATGGGCAGCAACGGTTGCCAGGTAACGGTTGCCAGGGAGCCGTTGTCAGGGAATGGTTGCCATGGGCAGCAACGGTTGCCAGGCAGTTCCTGGTTGCCAGGTAACGGTTGCCAAGCGGTTCCCGGTTGCCAGGTGACCGTTGTCAGGCGGTTCCCGGTTGCCAGGCAACGGTTGCCAGGCGCCGGCTGTTGTCCAGTTGTCCCCGGGGGGAGGTTCCGGTTCAGGATTGTCCCAAGGAATGTTCCAGGCTTTGGGGGGGGGGCATTTCCAAGGGCTGTTCTGGGGGGGGGGGCTGTCCCTCTGTCTGTCCCTCTGTCTGTCCCGTGTCTGTCTGTCCGTCTGTCCCTGTGTCTGTCCCGTGTCTGTCTGTC